TGCTGCCTGATCTGCCAGGCCCCGGGGGGAAGAGCCACTTTGTCACTCACCGGGAGGAAAGCCCAGTTTTCTTACATAATTGATGTTTTTCCTTCTTTTTTTAAGACAGCTCGAAGAAGCGCACCGACGATTGAAGAATCCCCCCCGTGTGACACTTCTTACAGCAGTTGTTTTCCTCTGCATTTCTCAGATGTGAAGCGCTTAGAACAACTTTCGTTTAGGGTTATTTTTACGTTGTGCGGTTTTCAGGCACCCTGAAAGAAAAGGAAGATTATTTTCTTATCTGAGTTTATTTTGTTTTGTTTTGCAGTTTGGAAGTTTTCTATAAAAAATTTAAGACATCCTTTAAAACTAAACGTAATTAAGCATTGTCTTCTACCCTTCCGCAAACCAAAACCCAGACCCTTGGTTTTGTTGGTTATTTTTTTCAAAATGGGGAAAGATGCAATGAAATTTAAAGCCTGTAGGCAAGGCAAAAGAAAATAGATGGTTGGAAGTTCAGATTTACACTTCCATAGAAAATTTCAAAGTTCTATACTTTCTTCGCTCAACTTTGGGACAAAGACCAGAAATACCAGCATTTTCTGGAGAAACGGAAAGCTTTTTTAAAAAAAAAAAAAAAATCCATTCAGAATCCACTTCTGGGCAGAATAGCACCTCCTGGCTCTTCTGAACTAACTGGTGAAGCCTTACAAACCTCAACCATTAGCAGTAAATTATTAAATTTGTACAATGAATATAAAAGTCAAAGTAAGCAAAGCATCACCTGCAAAGCCATGTGTCTAACTCTGCGGCCGGCTGGCCAGGGCTGGGCGGCCCTCAGCTGAGGACAGTGCAGGAACCTCCCAAGTCAGCACACCTTTAGGGCAAGGCGTAATGGCACAAAACCTCCCAGCCTGGCATTGTGCCCATGCTTATAAACCATGGTTAATTTAAATCTAGGATGCTTACAAGAAGATAACTCACCCATACTGGCTTCTGGGGCTTGGCAAAGCCGGGCTGCTTCCAGGCTTGAGTTGCCTTGCGTGCTGTCAGCTCCGACAACGGCGTTGGGTCTTCTCAGCCTTAGAAGCCTTCGGGCTGGTGTGAGCACAGCCACGGCTGCCTGATGTCCCCCAGTTCTGGGGAGCAGAGGCGTCTCCTTGCTTCCATTGTGGGTGTGTAGGGGCAGTGACGTGCCCATCCTGGTAGGTGTCATCTACCGCCAGGAGCGGCTCTTCCCAATAACCAAATGTGGTCGCATCTCCATGCACTCACCTATTTATGAGCGAACCTGGACCAGATTTGCTTTTAATGCTGCAAAGGGCCTGCACAGTAACATCTTCCTATCCTAGCAGCTAATTGCTTGCTCATGCACACACATTGAGAAAGAAATCCCCAGAAGAGGAGAAAGACCAAGCTATTCTAAAATAACTTCAATCTGCAAAGCCTGCTGGGGCTTCCACACAAACCTCTGGCTTGCATGGCCTTTCCTGGCTCGGCATGAGAGAGCGTGGCATCCCCACCCATCCCACACTGAATTGTGTCCTGATTGAGTCGGAAAAGCCACCAAGGTCCTTGGCTGCTGGATGAACAAAAAGAGGAATCTCGTAACATCATCACATAGCAGCCCAGGCTTCCCCCCAGGGGTGTTTTCTTGCTCCGATTCTTTGGGCTTTCTCTGTCTCATCATCAAATAAACGGCTTAACTCGTAGCCAGAGCAATATCTGCTCCCTGAGCTGTGGTGCCGCTCCATGGGGCTAGCGGGAGCACCCTGTGTGTTACTGAACCCTGATGGTCTTCCAGCACCTCCCCACAATTTCCATGTGTGCCCCAAACCTTTCGGACTTCATGGGGAGAGGGATGTGGGGTGCTTGAGCTTGGGATACGGCCCCAGAAGGGAAGGGGGAGGCTGTATCCTGCACTTAGGTGGATGCAGACACGTATCCCAGGAGTGCCGGGGTGAGCCGGTGCTGCCAGTTGGGTGTGTTGAGCGATATCAAGCTGCCGGTCAGCAAAGGGAGAGTGAAGAAAAGCGAACCCAGTTGCCTGAGGAAGGAGAGAGTGAAAAGCTGAGCATAGCATTAGAGCTGAGTCAGAGGGGAGGGGAGGAGGCTTACGTGGAGCTAGTCCTGCCAGTGTCCTGGGGGAGAGGGGTGCAGCCACCTTCGCTCATCTCCTCATCCTCCCATCAAGGATGGTGTTGAGAAACAGTTCTGCTGCTGTTTTATCTGGGTTGCAGAGTGCCCCAGGGCAGCTGCTGTCCCCGTTTCACAAGCACCCTGCATCCCACCACTCCCAGCCTCAGCATCCCCTTGTGCCGGGTCTGGTGCTGGCGGGAGCTGCCTTGCTCCTGTTCAGCCCACTGACGCAGGAAAGCCTATCAAAGCTTTGCTTTTTTTGCTTGGTTAGTTTTCTACAAGGTAACCAGTTAATTTGGCTCTGGGGTGGGGTTCAAAGATGCTCAGGAGCCAGCACGGGGTGAGAAGTGGCAGCACATACCTGTGACTTGGGTAGGTTGGACCTTTTTCATTTTGGTGCTGAGCTGAATGGAGCGAGGCCGTCTTGTAGAGGAGCATCCACACAGGCTCGCTCGCTGATCTGAAACCTTAGCACATACAGACATGAGGGCAGGCAAGAAACAAAACCCCTCCATCTTTCAGAAGACGGGAGCTGACCCATGGAGGGACTAATTAGGTCTCAATTATGGGGCAGAGTTGGGAGTGGACAGAAGTGCTCCCAGGACAAAATCCTGGCTTTGCAAGGGCACTAAATATGTTCTAAGAGCATGGCATTACCTACTTACAATGCCGTTTCCATTGAGATACAGAAAAGTTGTATGTTGTGCAGCATTTTGAATCTTTACAGCTGGAGATTAGGAAGTGCAGAAGGAAGGCTCTAGCGTAATAGGTTACATGGAGTTTAGAGAAGCTAAGCTACAATCTTAAATTCAAATAACTTTCCTATTAGGAAGGATCTATTAATACTTACGGTATGGTAATTGTGCAGACTCCAAGTCCTCACCCAGTCAAAAGTAACCCCTAAGAGCCCATACCTACCCATGGAAAAATCCCCTTAAAACACTGGGAATTTTGCCTACGTAAATACTGCCAAAGTTGAGCTGCAAATGCCTCTTCTATAAACTACAAAATGAGAACTTGACCACAACAGCAAAACTTCAGTGGGAAATGTAAGGCAGTGCACACCACTGCAAGAATGCACTCAAGGAGCCCAAATTTCCTGCGGTTTTTGCACTGCTTTTCACCCTCGTTACCGTTTCCTTTTCCCATAGGTGAGGGCAATCCCCAGTCACTAATCTTTGTTCTTTGCCGCTCGGCCTCTCCGGGTAAGCGTCATCTTCTTTTATCTGCTGCATCCACTCACTTGCCCAACGATTATCCCAGAAGGCAGACTGTTTCCCTTTGATGGTTGCTCTTCAGTGCCACAAGATAACCGAAGACAGCAAACATTTTCTCCTTGTGTCTAATCCGTGTGGTCAGAAAGTGAAAGATTTCATTCCCTTCAAACAGACGATTGCTTGCTGGCTGGATTTCAGCCTCTCTTGCTCATCTGCCTATGCTTGTAACAAGGATACTGCTCTGTGCTGCCTTTCTCAGTTTGGGAAGCTATTCTGCTCGCATAAAGGCTTCTCTTTAAAGGAACGTTTTCAGCAGTTGTGTCAAGGCTGGATTTTTAAGTTGTTTTAAGCCTTTCCCGTTTGTTTGAAGGGGCTGAGACTTGCAGGTTTTTGGTGTATACTCAATTTTCAAACTTGTTATCTGTGCCAAGCTAACTGTTTTGGTCCTGGTTAAAAGGATTTAAATACACAGTTTAACTCATCTACAGTAGCCATTTAAGCTCCTGCTTTCTCCGTGGGGCTCTCTTCTTACCCTGAGCCATGCCCTGCATAGCGTGCTGCTGCCATCGAGGTCTGAATTGCTCGGTTGCTTTGGAGTTCGCTCCTCCAACCCACAGAGGGCTGGAAAGTGGTACCTCCAATTCACAGTGATAGCAGCACAGCACTTCTATCACTGCTGTCACAACTTGCCCTCTGCAGGCCTGCATCCTGGTCCCCATTTTAGGGCTGGTGGCAGAAGGAGATGTGAAATGATGCGCTTGGATGCTGCAGAGAACTCAACTCTTGGTCCCATCCCAGTCCCCTGAATACCGAGATGTGCACGTTGAAGTGACTAATCCAAGGTCACCCAAGCAAATAATACCCAAATGTCCTTCAGCTTGGTCCTGGGTCGAACTGTGCAACTCAAATGTCTTCCCACCCAGTGCATTGCAGCGGGAGCTGTATCCTGTGGAGCCATCCCTCTGCACGGAAGTGCAAGCTGGGTGCAGTGGAAATACAAGTATAACCCTGTCCTTGCAGGCATCACCCCTGCTCCTTGCCTGGGTGGGGAATCGCCATGTGGGAACAGAAGGTGAAAGAGGAAAAGCAAACAAGTCTCTCTTATTGCTCCGCTCACATGCAAGAAAACTGGCTCTCAGTTTGCCTTAGAAACAACTTTGACCCTGGAAAACAGATACATGAGTAGGAACTAGGGACTGGGTGGGAGGAACAGCAAAGCCCACGTAGACGCTGCAAATGTGTGGGATTTTCGGCTTCAGGTCAGCACGGATGGACATAATGACCCCTTAAGGCTTTCCACTTAAAACTGCTGGTTCCAGCTCGCCCCTCCCCGGCTCCCAGCATTGCCACAGACCCTTCGCACACTGCTCCTTTTGCTTACACCTCTTATCTGCCTTGTGGAAAATGCATGCTCAAAGTAGCCCAACTTCTGGGTCGCACTGCAGCCTGGCAGTTTCTTTGGCTTAACAAGCATTTATGGACCCCATCCCCTATCCCTTTTACTACAAGTGGCAATCTGGGCCAGGTCCTAAAGTAGCTGAGAAGCACTTCATTTGGATCTTCCCATTTTTGTGCAAATTAAGCCATCAAGCTAACATTATATTGGTTTACCTTTTGTGTTTGACACGCTATAAATCAAACAGGACCTGCATACACTCCTTTTGACTTGTGATATTATGTACATGTGCATCTATGCTGTGTTCCAGGTGCCTTTGCCAAAACGTTAACAGTAATACTAGGAGGACTAAACAGAGCAGATGTTCTGTAATCCCACACCGAAAGGCAACGTGGGAATGTTGGAAGTTCTGCAGGTACAAAAAGCTTTACCCCTCGAGCCATGTACTTTTATTCATATAAACTAATTATCATAACAGCTCTGCGAGGTATCGCCATCACCTTGTGAAGAGGAGACTGAGATGGTCACTTTGGCAAAGGACACAGAGTTGTGGAGCTCTGACCCTGTGATCAGTTCTACCCTCCCACTCAAACGTGCATGCAGGGTAAGTGTACAATGTAATATTTCAGCACAGGAATCATTAAACTGTAAAACTCTATTTTAGGAGGGTTGTTTTCATTCCTTCCCCAAATAGTAGATCGTCTCCAAAGATAATAAAATACAAATATCCATTAGAGTAGGAGAAAAAAGCTAAGCAGCTTTACAGATACCAAGTTCTTTTTCCCTCAACTGTTTGATTTCCCTATGGGTGTCACAAGGTAGCCAGCTAAAAGCAGACATCTCCCTGGGTGAAGTGTTTGCAATGATGATGTATTTGTACAGTGGTAGGAAGTCTATACCAGTTATAAAACCATCCAAAAAATTGTCAATGGCTAAAAAATGGGAAAGTTTTAGGCCTAATCCAGCTCCTGTCAAAATTCATCAACAAAACTTCCGCTGACTTGCAGAAGTGCAGAATTGGGGCCTCGGTCATTTCCAGGAGCTATTTCACAGCATCACATCATGCTCGTTAATATCTACCTGACAAGCATATATACCACGCAGTATTTCATTACCAAGATGCAACCGCTTGAAAAAACATTTCTCCAACTTTGAAAAATGGCTCTGCACCCTAAGGTGCATCACCAAAAACCAGAGCATTTTGAAACGCTGCCCAGGTAGCTGAGGGTTGCCAGCATGGACTGGCACAGGGAGAGAGAAGATAATCTAATGGTAGCTCCATCGCTCAGTACAACTGCTGGCATCACATTGTTACTACAGCCAGGAGGTGCACCAGACCAGAGCAGTGATGGGGGATTGCTCCCTCGGCTGCTAAAGGAATAAGAATCATAGAATACCAGGTTGGAAGGGACCTCAAGGATCATCTGGTCCAACCTTTCTAGCACAATC